CAAGTACACAACGAGAACACGACAAGTACACAACGAGAACACGACAAATACACAACGAGAACACGACAAGTACACAACAAGAACACGATGAGTATACAATGAGAACACGACGAGTATACAATGAGAACACGATGAGAACATGACAAGTACACAACGAATACACGACGGGTTGACAATGAGAAAACGACAAGAATACGGAGAACACAACAAGTAAACAGCAAGTAAACAACGAGAACACAACGGATACGGGATAAGACCAATACGAGAACATTACTCCAAAGACAAAACTAAGGAATAATGAAGTCTTCTTATAATAAAGAATCTGCTATAAAAACTGTTTTATTGTGGACATTCATTCAGTAAGTCACAGTTTTGTATATTTTGTGCAGTCACTATCCTTTTTAGAAATTAAAATAACAATGAGTGATGAAACACATTATAAGGTGCCAAACTAGTAATAAATCTAGTGGTTTGAACTCAAACTGTTGCCTTGGATTGACTTGACTTTATAAAAGTGTTTTACTTCTTTAAAATAAGAAAGCACACTTGTGCAGTGGAGGTTTTTCTTCTGCTTTAGTACGTAACCATAGACCACAGAAAAATGACTATTTTTTTCTTTGCATGTCGTGTAGCACGTTCCCCGGTCTGCCCTACCGGTGACGGCCCAGCCGCGGCCAACGTGTGCCCGGATGAGATAACTCGGTGCAGGCGGGAGGGTGAGGGGGGAGGAAGGGGGAGGAAGGGGGAGGAAGGGGGAGGAAGGGGGGGTGACACCAGGGAGGGCTGCCTCCTATGGAAAAAAAAAAAAAAAGAGAGAGAACTTGGAGCTCGGCCAAGTCTTTCTTCCTCGCCGTCTCCCGACTCACTCCTTCTGTCATGTAGCGGGGCCTTATGAAACAAGGCAATACAGAGACGGAGCGCAAGCAAACAAACGAGTTGGAGTGTGTGTGTGTGTGTGTGCATAGAAGCACAGAAATAGAAGAATACACACATGTGTGTGGGTGAGGGGGGGAGAATTATCATGGAGAAAAGACGTGCAGTGACTTTCTTCATCAAAACCTTGGCAGACGATCAGAGGAGGGGAAGCTATTGTTGGAAGACACCCTCCCCTTTCCCTGTGCACACAGGCAAACGCAGTTGGATACACACAGTCAGTCAAACACACACACACACACACACACACACACACACACACACACACACACACACAAACAATCTTCTACCTTCCACCCCCACACTCCTGCTTTCAAACTTCCGCAGAGAGCTGCGTGCCACTGTCACATCTTCTTTCCAAAGTCACAATTAAAGACGCTGAATATGTGCACGAGTGTGTGTGTGTGTATGTGCGTATATGTGTGTACAAGTGTGTGTGTGTGTGTGTGTGTGTGTGTGTGTGTACGAGTGAGTTAGAGGGTGAGGTGGCTGCTACGGAAAAAAAAAACATTTTGATTGGCAAACTTTATCTGGGGGCCCCGAGGGACTGCGCAGCCACTGTAAATGATTTATCGGAAAAATGCATCCCAGAATGCACCTGGGGGGCTCTTGCCCCGGGGCGATTATTGAATGACCTCTGAGAGCGTGACTCCTGCTAACCTTCCCCGCCCGTCTACAAATTAACTTCCCTCAGCAGCGGGGAGGTGAGAGGACGACCTCCGACGTATTTACACAGCGGAGGTTCAGAGTCAGATCCAAAACAGAGGAAGACTCAGACTCTTCATCACGAGGAGGGTGAGGGTTTGTGCTTCAGTTACTATTTGGTATCAGTGCATGTAAAGTACGATTGTAAGGGCGGTTGCTAAAGATGCTGCGATGTATCAGTATTAACGATAACAGTGCTATTTAAGAAATTGGTATCATGTTAATAACACACTTTATAATATCGTGTAAGTAATCCAGCGCCTCTTAAATGAATACAGACTCTCGCTTAATCTCCCTACACTCTTATTCATTCGCCAAATAAGAGACAAAAAGCACAATAAACAAGTTCACTTTTTACACATTTCCTATCGTGATCAAATTGTGATCTAGAATTCTTTTGGCCACCATTATCGTGTGGTCTAACTCTGATATCGTGACCATCTTAGGTCTTGATTGTTTGTGTTTCAGCAGCCTGAGGCGGCTTTTTGTGAGAGTGAAGCGCTTTGCGTTGCAGCTTTTGGTTTGCTGAACGCCTCCCGTTCTTCGAGGAGTGCTCTGAACACCTCAAGTTGAAAATAAATTCAACTCAGAGTGGAGAATTGTCGTTCTCATTGACGGATTTACACGACTTTACCAACCGTAGTCATCATGATCCAAGGAAAACAGCAGGAGCCAAATTAGTGTTTGGATGTTATTTCACTGACCTAGTCTGAATCTCAGAGCTGCTAGCGGCCCCCCGTGAAAGGCCAACATCAGCATGCCTCCCTCCAGGCCCGTGGCCCACTGCAGTCCCTCCAGACCTCCACAGCAGCGCAGGTGCTCGGCTAGTCTCAGCGTGGCGGCTGGAGCCACCTCCTCCGCTACCAGTGCCATGCTAACAGGTGCCAAGCCCACATCAAAGCATATCAGCTCCCCCTGCTCTCCCCCTACCAGGACCACGGCCCCAGCAGGGTGCCAGGCCAGGAGGGTGGGCTGCACGGGGCAGGAGGCCAGCAGTGAGACACCCCGTCGCTGGTCGTACAGCACCAAGGAGGAGTCGGCGAGGCCCAGGAGGAGCGTGGTCTCAGAGGGGTGACGCGAGCAGGAGACAGGACGGGACGGCAGCGGGATGCGGGTGACGGACAGGCGGTGCAGGCGCCCTCGTGCACATTCGTAGACGCAGGCGTCGGCCCGGGACCCCTCTGTGAATCTGGGGCCTGGTGCAGGAAGCTCCACCGTCAGCAGCTGGTAGGGCTGGAGAACGCTGAAGCGGCAGTCCAGAGGGTTTCCTTCAGTCCGGAGGGAGCCGAGGACCTTTGAGAGGGAGAGGATGAAGAGAAGAAGACGAGGGTTTCAGAGAGTCTGATGAACATTCTCCCTGTGAATCTGATCTGATCCAACAATAATAATCTTTAGTCCTGGAGTGACCATATTTTCCTCCTAATACTTTATGTTAGAGGGAGGATTCAGCCAGCATCCCCTCAGTAGTTTAGCATCACTAAACATTGTATGAATAGAACTTGATCTCGTCATTTTGTTCTCGTCTTTACACGTTCTACTATTTGGGAATTGGAAGATGCCGAGTACTGCAGATGAACAAACCTGTTGTATAGAAAGAATATATGAGAGAAAGACAGAGAAGCCCCTCAAACCCCCCGGAGATGGAGGAAATAGAGCCTTCCACTTCCCTTCATAAACACCAGGCTGTCAATCAAGACGGCTAATGATAAGAGCTCCGTTTTAACTCAAGGTCAACAACATCTCCTCCCCGAGCATGCCACGGCTTTGGCACCCCGGCGATAAACAACCTGCTCTGTTTACCTGCGTGAGTGAGGAGCCAAGAGCTCAACGCTACACATGGCGACAAGAACGAGAAAGAGGATGATACATGGAGAAAGCTTGGCGTTATTAAACCAATGGTCAAAATCCAGAAGTGAGATTATTCGCTCCTGGACCACAACCAGGTGGAGGAGGCCGCTAAGCGCCGACACTGATGGAGAAAGGCCGTGTCACGGGTGGTGCTGTCGATAAAAACACCCACAAGGAACCGGGAACAGTAGGTGGATGACAGGAGACGTCAGCCTTCAGCTAAACAGCAACCCAGCAGCTCCACAGCCGCTAACAGAGCTTTATAGGAGGGATTTCACCTCACCAAAGCCTCTATCAGAGCCCTGCATTGACCGTGGCAGCTTTGGCTAAATGAGCCCATTTCTTTTCGCCGTGTTGACAGAAAGAAGGATCGGCTGCTTGCCTGCCTTCCTTCCTTTCCTTTTCCCCAAAGCTGCCCGGCCCAGTATTTTGGCAGGCACTGCCAAAAAGGGACTTAGAGGGAGGAAGGTTTTTTTTTTTTTGCTCGTGGTCTACAGCAGGAGAGAGAAGCAGATGACTGTCCTCCTGAAAGCTTCTTTTTCTTCTTTTCTCCTCTCCATAATCCTCCAGAGCTAGCTCCTGCTGCTCCCCAGGGAGTGGGTGCTGTGTGTTTACGTGAGGGGCGGGGTGTACCCTTCGGGATGGGTGCGGTTCTCTGGAGAGCTTCATGTCTGCAGGGACAAAGTGACACACACATTAAACAAACAAGTATCCATTGAGTCCACCAATGAACTGGATATAAGAAGAAGACGTGGTCACTGTGACGTCACCATTGGTTTGTTCTGCATTTTGGCTGCGCCATGCTGGTTTTAGCCGTCGCCATCATGGTTTTTGTCCGTCTTCAACTTAGTTTTTAGACTCCCATCTTGCATGTTGGCAGTCGCCATATTGTTTTTTTGCCGTTGCAATCTTGGTTTTTGGTCATTGACATCTTGTGTTTTTGCAACCAGACGTGACACGAGAGGGTAGAGCTAAGCTAACTCCCAGACCAGACAATGCTGTGGTAGCGACCTGTCAATCACCGTGTAGCCCCGCCCTAAAGCATCCCCTGCTTTATGGTCTGTTTGACTCTAAATGGACCATAATGTACTAAATGAACATCATGCTGTATTGAAGAAGACTTGAAACTAGAAATTGAGACCATAAACTCATGTTTACAATGTTTGCTGAGGTAATAAATCAAGAGAGAAGTAGAGTCATTTTCTCATAGACTTCTATACAACCAGAGGAGTCGCCCCCTGGTGGACAGCAGAGAGAATGCAAGTTTCAAACAATTCAGCAATGGCTTCCCTTGTCGGATCTTGAGAGTTTGCTTCCTGAGTCCATCACACAGAATGCTGTCGCGGGAATCAAGACCTACTTCCATTCCACAAGCCCTCCTGACTGCCCCCCCCCCCCCCCCAACCACATCTCATCCTCTCAGCACTTCATCTCGTGCCATCGAGGATGAAGAGCAGCTGATTCAGCTCTGCTTCCCCTGATCGGTGACCCCGTGAAGGAGAGGGGGGGGGGGGGGGGAAGACCAGCGAAGAGTAAAAGAGCTGCAACAGCCAACATTTCAAAGAGCTCAAGCTTTTATTTTCACACATCCTGAAAACACAAAAAACATGTAAGAAAATGGAGAATGAATGGATAATGAACCCGTGTATGACTTCTCAGACTCATGTCCTCGACTGTAGTTCAATTCACTGATAAATCATTCCACGGTCTAGACCACAAACAGGTATTTACTCCATTATACAGCAGAAATTTGATCAAGTTAATGATATTTTTTCACATCAGCCCTTCAATCGATAAAAGTCTTTTCCTTGCTGGTCGGCTCCATATAAAGTAAAGAGCCTCAAACGTCAATGCATTGATTGATGTTACTTGGATGTTTATAGAAACAGACATTTTATTAATCTTATAATCAGCAAAATGTTTACACAGTTCAGTTTAAGATTCAGATTTTAGATATTTATACACAGAACTCCTTCAACCTGAATGTCTACTCTCTTTGCCTTTTGAGTGTTTCACAAAAGTGCAATATTTATTTTAAAAAAGGTTTATAAATCTCAATAGAAAAAGCAGAGCACAAACTGCATCTCGCAGTCTTTTTACAGTCACAACATTTATTCCTGTCAGCACAGCAGCGTTTTGACTCCGGGTCACTTTTTAAGGCCTCGTTTTACATTCTGTGTGAACCGATCAAAGGCAAGCAAAAGGCCCCTGAAGGCAACACAGCTGATTAGGAGATTAGAGCGCTGGCACTCACGACATTCAGGGTTATAAAGTCTGTCTTTCCAAACATAAAACTGCAAACACTCATGCTGCCGTAAGCATGAGACGACACGAACATCGCATGAATGATGACATATAGATTCATCTGCAGCTGATATATGGACGTTAAATATAAGAGTATGAGAGAACAGTTTTTGATCTTATAAGACTGAAGCTCAAAGCAACAATTTGCACCCCTGTTTTACAAACTGCCACCTGAATAAAGTCCAATAAAAACACACTTTGGACGTCAAAACAACAGCCAGTCTTTAAAAGAAGTGAGAGAGAAAGGACTTCTGCATGTGTCACATGTTACTGTATCGGCTGGTTCTGAGAGCATGAAATAGAAAAATGATGAATAAGGTCAAGAGAGGGAGTGAAAGGATGTGCAAGAGAGACAGAAAGCGAGAGAATGGATGTGAGTAAAGAGAGAGAGATGGAGGGTGAGACTTGGAGAGAAAGATGCAAAAAGGAGAACAGAGAGACAGAAAGAGAGGGAGAAAGAGAGAGACAGAGAGGGAGAAAGAGAGAGACACAGAGAGAGAGAAAGAGAGGGAGAAAGAGGGAGAAAGAGAGAGACAGAGAGGGAGAAAGAGAGAGAGAGAGGCCTCTAGTAAGTAGCTTTCTCCTGGTTATTGGTTTCAGTGACTGGTCAAAACTATTCTTCTCCATTCTTCTTGTCTCCCTCTCTTTCTCTCTCTCTCTTTCTCCCTCGTCGGCACCTTTTCTCCCCCTCCGTGGCGTGAAAGATAAAGCGGACGGGCCCAACTGTGTGGCTGGCCCTTGTTCACAGCAGTGGCCTTTTGAAGCCAATTTTCCAGCTCACGGAGCAGAGAAAGACAGGGAGAGACGGGTAGAGAGAGACGGAGGGACTCGGAGGAGAGTCGAGGGATGAAGGGAGGGATTGGGGGAGGTAGAGGAGGTGGGGGGAGGACTGGGAAGTTTTTAGGTGTGTGAATCAGGGTTACTGTTGAGGTACTGATGTGAGAAACAAAAAATATGCCTCACACCTTAACTGCCATAATTTGATACCACTGAACATAATTGTAGCACAGAAGAGATGACTGTTCACTCGACCCGAGCCGTGGAGGCAGTGGGATCTTTTGTTTTACAAAGCGGTGGAGCTTTGGGGTAATTCTGCACTTTGGATTCAACACCCGACTCTTCACTGCATTGCTGAACATGTGCAGTTCTGCACATTAAGACAGAAAATTACCAATTTTAATGTAGCTTCTAATGCACTCTTAATCGTAGCAGCTGTGGAGGAGATGAAGTACAGATTGAATTATTCAATTATATATTAATTATATATATTCCTTCTATATGAACTATTTCATGTTTTGCAAAAAAGACAAATTCCTAAACTCACTAATAATTAAAAGCCGACAGAAATCACACGAATGCAGATCAAACGAGTGGAGAGAAACTGTTTGGTGACAGATAACTGGATAGTCACACGCTTTAAAAAACACAAACAAAACATAAAACAGTATGTTCGCAAACATCAATGCACACATACAATCATAAAAAATTAAAAAAGCACGAAAACATTCATCTGGTGTTTTCTTTTCATTCAGATTATTAAATTCCAGGAACAGGTTAGTGTGTGTTTGTGTTGAGGGAAGCATGACGGAAGGATGATTAAAAATGTTAACTGGATGCATAAAAACAAAGTTTTTGTGTGGCCCCCCCCCCCCCCCCCCCATGCATGCCGTGGCTCCACTTATCAGAGTGAGGAAGAGGAGGTGGTGGTGGTGGTGGGGGGGCATACAAATTAAGACCACATAGGGAAAGAAATCAGACTTTTTTAAATGCCGAGAGACTGGCTAGAAAATTGGCTTAGTGCTGCAGATAGCGAACGGAACAAAAGGAACATATATATGAGCTTGAAGTGATTGAAGTAGCTGGCGTCTCCCGATGTGTGCCCGGCGTTTGATTCCCGCCACGGCTCTTACATAAACTGCTCGCTTAATTTCACACCGCGCATCATGAAAAATGACAACAAACGCTTTCATTAGAGCGCGATGCCGCAGCCCCGCGAAGAGACTTTAATGTTCCTGAAGCGTGGAGGAAGGAAGGAAGGAAGGAGGAGAGGAGAGGAGTGTGTGTGTGTGAGGATGGGGGGTGAAGGAGACATAGAGAGAATAAACTAGGTGAAGGAGTGTGATAAATGTGAAGAGCGTTCCAAAAAACAAGAAGCGGCGAACAGCTTTACTTATTTCAATATTCATGTGTACACCCCCCCCCCCTCAATTCTCTCCTCCATGAATTTGTTTTCCTAGCATGCAATTGGTAACGCTCATCTTCTCTCTCTCTCTCTCTCTCTCTCTCTCTCTCTCTCTCTCTCTCTCT